AGAGGTAAAGTTTTTCTTTAGAATTCTCTTACCCTCTCCTTAAGAACAGCCTTGTATTTTTCTCTTATAAATGATGAATTCACATACACACACACCCCTTCCCTAGGCATAGAGTGACTTTTCTCTCTACTGCCATTCAAACATGATTTCAAGAAAAGAAAAAAAAAACAACTGATTGAGAATTTAAAAGATGGTACAGGAGTAATATGACATATGAAACTAAACTGGGACCCAAGCAACCTGGGTTCTAGTCCTCACTCTGTCACACCCAACCCTGTAACTCTGAGCAATTCAGTTTTTCTGGGCTTTATCATTTCCTCTGCAAAGGTGAACATTGGATCAGATGGTTTTCCTTATTTGTTCTCATTAATAGGTAAATGACTAACACAGCAAGCTTTGTTGGCTGCATACGTATTGCAATAAGGTGGTTGCAGCAAAGCAATAATGTGCAACAAAGTAGTTGTATCATTGTTGGAAATGATGCTTTCCCTAAAGCAAGAAAACATCTAGCCTTGAATGCCAGACTGAGGGTTCTACATCTGTGTAAGATGAGAAACATAGAAGGTTCTAGAACACACATTCCGTCATGGAATGTAAGGACATCATAGCGGGAAGGCATTTTAGAGAACACCCTGTCCTCTTCTCTCATTTTATTTTATTACTAGAGGCCCGGTGCACAAAATTCATACACTTGGGGGGGGGGGGCAAGGAGGCAGTCCCTCAGCCTGGCCTGTGCCCTTTCGAAGTCTGGGAGCCCTCGGGGGTTATCCCTGTGGTAGTGGGCCTAAGCCGTCAGTTGGACATCTTTAGCGCTGCCGCAGAGGCAGGAGAGGCTCCTGCCACCGTCCGCTGCTCTCACCAGCCGTAAGCCTGGCTTCTGGCTGAGCGATGCTCCCCCTGTGGGAGTGCACTGACCACCAGGGGGTACCTCCTGTGTTGAACGTCTGCCCCCTGGCAGTCAGTGCGCATCATAGAGACCGGTCATTCCACCGTTTGGTCAATTTGCATTTTTATTATATAGGATTTTTTTTAAAAAAAATTTTTATTGATTTCAGAGAAGAAGGGAGAGGGAGAGAGAGAGAGAAACATCAATAATGAGAGAATCATTGGTCAACTGACTCCTGCATGCCCCACACTGGGGACTGAGCCTACAATCAGGAAATTGAACCTCAGCCTTCTGGTTCATAGGTTGATACTCAACCACTGAGCCACACCAGCCAGGCCTCTTCTCTCATTTTATAAAAGGAACCTGAGGCCTAAAGAGGGGAGGGTACTTGTCTGCTTCTTATTGCAAAGCGCCTAATCAACACAGGGGACTTGAAAGCACGGGAATAATGGGTTTTTGGAGGCTGCACATATTACTCAGTTCTATGCACCTTCAGGGTCAGTTACTGACACCACATAGCACTCATCCATGTCTCCTGCCCTTGGCAGAGGAAATAATTTATTTCCTGATGCATTTCTACAAACAAGTCCCTTGATGAGCAAGCCAAACACAAAAAGAATGTCAAGAGCCGGTAACGACTGGAAGACAAAAAACCTTCACTGGTGGAGACAAAAGACCAAGACTACACAGGACATTAAACGGAAAGTTGAGTAAAGAATTATTAACGAGTGTCAGGGGGGTGTTGCCGCAGACATTGCTTCTGAGGGTGAGGAGGACCGGGAGGTGCAGGAACGGCTGGGGGCAGGCGCTGCTGGGAGCTGAGGCGAGTGCCCTGGGTCGGACTCGGAGCCCTGCTCACCCGCAAGGCTGGGATTCCGATCTCGCTGGAGAGTTGGGGCTGTGGCCACTGGATGGCGGGGTTTGCTGAGGTAACACAGGTAAGGATGGTCAAGCAGGAAACTGTCCTGGAGTGACCATGCAACTTCCAAAAGGGAAAGCATTGAATGGTCCGGAGAACCGGGGGGGACTCACTAGGGAGCTTCCGGGAAGCCGCCCCCTAGGTGCTGTGAACTCACTGGGAGCCAGACGAGGTGCCTGCAGAGCTCACTGGAAGCCATCAGCTCGGCTGAAGGACACTCCAGGGAGGCCGCACACTTTAGGAGCAAGAAGGAGGCAAAGCCCGAGGAACCCAGAAGCGCCTCCTCCTGCAGTGTACCTCCAGCGCCCTCTGCTGGCACAACGCAGCATTGCGCCAGTTGGGAAAGGAGAAAAGTTTGTGAGATTCGGTTCTGGAATCACAGGAGGGCTAAGAAGGATGGATTAGGAAAGGTGAGACAATAAACTAATAAATGACACATTTACAGTCACTGAGGTGGAAGTTCACACACACACACACACACACACACACACACACACACGTTTCCAAATAACACAATACACCCACAGGTGTCCAGGTAAAAACTATAAAATAAGCACTTGTTTTCTTTGGTTCCCAGTCTCCTTGGATGCACAGACTCTCCACCTGCCTGGAGTTACCGGGGAGGCAACCACACCCCGTGGTCCTCAGCCGTGCCCGAGGTCCAGCCTTTCCAGTTGTCTTACCATCTTCTCTCAGATCTTCCGTGAGGGCCGCTGCACTGGGTGTTCTCACAGATACTACGAAAGCTGGAAACAGTCCTGTTGGGTCTCAGAAGCTTGCGGTCTCGGAGACGAAAGGAAGCTTAGCTCGGGGACCTCATCTGGGCCTGCTCCTGCTGTCCCAGGTACAGCCCTGAGTGCCTCTTCTCACTCTCCAAAGTGTCCTTCTTCAAGTGATAAGTCACTGGACCCCAGTCAATCCACTCCCCACCTCCGTTTACAGGAGAGGAACTCTCCCACATTGATAGTAAACAGGAGGTCCTCAGGCGGTGGAGAGGACTGGACTTGGAGCTACTGTGTAACTTTGGCCGATACTAAGCCCATCTCTAAAATGACCACCAGGCTGTGATGCTGGAACGACAAAGGGAGATAATGTACGCGGAGCACCAGACACAAGTTGTGGCCAGAGGGATGAACCAGCCCCCCTCCCATAGTTTCCACGTCTGCCTACCTCCCCCATCTCCTGTCACATCTTCTCATCATCTCAAGGTCATCTTTCAGAACAATCGCTGCTAACAGGAGAGCTGAAGGGGGGAATCCCAGTTTGTTTAGAGAGGAGGGTTGGGACTGTAAGTGCACTTGACTTGCTAAGCAGGAAGGAATGTTAAACACTCTCTCCAGTTCATGCCTCTCTCCCCCCAAATTCCCTCTTCCTGAAGCTTACCAGGTCCTTAAAGCAATGGACCAGAAGCAAAGACCTCCCCATCGGAAGACTGGCCCAGCTCAGGTGCAAGTTTTCCCTGGGAAAGAGCATTCCAAGATTGCCACCTGGTGGCCAAATTATAAAACACACTCCTTGGCCAATTTGATGACCAACCAGGTGGGCAGCTACCCAAGGGCCATGTATAAGAGGAGAAAGGCAGGTGGGGATCCCTTGCGCGGGACACCTGGCAATGGCTGCTAATGGGGGCTGCTTGGGAGCACGTGTCTGTGGAGCACATCCCTCAGGACACACTGACGTTCACTCAAAGACTGCTCCGCCAGGTCTGCTGCCCTAGCTTCAGGACAGGTTAGTTAGTCTAGGCTTTCTCAACCTCAGGACCTTTGACATTTTGGGCCAGATAATATTTTGTCATGAGAGACTGTTCTGTGCATTGTAGGAAGTTTAGCAGCATCCCTGGCCTCTACCCACTAGATGCCAGTAGCAACCTCCACCCAGTTCCCAGTTATAGCACCAGAAATGTCTCCAGATGTTGTCAAATGCCTTTGGGTGAGGGGACGGGGGGGTGGGGGGGGCCAGGTTGGAAACCATTGCACTACTCAACTGGTTAGATGTTCATTTCACAAACTTCCCAGTTCTTAGCAAAATGACATGGAGAGCGGTGGACTCTGTCCAAGTCCGATCGGCAGCAGTCCCCAGGTGAACAGTGTGTGGGGTCTGAGAAGCGGGGGTAAACCCCCCCCCAGGCTCCGCCCTCCAGAGCACCCCTCCGTGAGCTTTGCCCATGGCCCTCTCTTCTTAGCGCGCCTAATGAAGAGATCCGTCTCATCTCCACCTTCCTCTCCCTCCGGTGGCAATCCAATTAGGCTCTTCCTACAATTAGCTAATCATAATTAAAGAGGAGCAAAGCCCACGTGTCATCCTTAAACTTCATCCATTAAGTAACAATGTCCAATTTTGAAATCCCTCTTCAGACAGGGAGACAGGGTACATGTGTGGGATAAGAATTCTCCAGATGTGAACCTACATTTAATTATGCTGTGATTAAAACTCAATCAGGGGCAGTGCTGGACAACATCGTTATTCGGGTGTCACCTTATTGAAGAGACAAGCAGCCCAGTGCCTCTCACAGGGATGCTGCCTGAAGCATTCAAAAAAAAAGGAGTCGTTTGGACCACCCTCTGGGTCTCAACGGTCTTCCAAAAGCACCGTGTGGTCCATGGCTTCCTCGTCACTTAGAACTCTTCAAAACTGTTCTGTCCAAGCATCCAGTCAGGGCAGGAAAGGGCATTTACTGGTAGATGTCTTGTCTAATAATTTGCCAAGTGCTTTGAGGGGCCAGGTGCTCTCCGCACAGTCTCTCATTCTTTAACCATAGGCAGTGGGAGTCGCCCTTATTCACAGGTAGGAGAACCAGGGTTCAGGGAAGTTAAAGAACCTGCCAGTCACCCAGTGTGAAACGGTAGGGCCAGAACTTAAGCCAAACAGCCGCCCCCAGAGTCTGTGCTCATTACATTATACTGGCATTTTGAAGTAGTTTCCCAAATATCTGATATTTGACAGAAGAAATCTTACTCTGTTTTTTATTGTGAAACAAAGAAAAACAGGCTATTCCGAACTCTCCTTGCATGCGCTGTGTTAGCAGGGACGCCAGGGAGCAGGGAGGCTCCATGTTGAACTCATGGGGTTGGAGACAGAGTGGCTGTTGGGTCACTAATGAAGGTGAAGCGCAAGGACGTGGGTGACCCCAGGGGGCTGAGACCGCACCTGAGCCCTTGCTTAGGTTTATAACATTATCACATTCTAACCCACGGGATGGGTCACTGCTCGCAGCTGACCTCTGAGCACCAGCTGGTGGCAGAGCTGAGAATGGCGCCTGGGCTGCTCTTCCTCTGCAGAAACGGGCACCTGCTCTCTGCCCTCCCGGTGGAGGGAACGCTGTCTCTAAGGATCAACTTGCCTACATTTCCTGCCAAAGCTCTGCTCTGCGAAGGTAGTTGAAAGCCAGGGGTAACCTGGGGGGCCTGAGACTCGTGGTGTGGTTTGCTGCCCAAATGGAGCAGCCATGAGCTGGAGAAGGGCAGCAGGCCCCATGTCCAGCTCATGCAAGGTTGGAGGATGAATGGTTTGTTGATTCATTCATTCATTCATTCATTCATTCATCAAAAAAACCTACTAGCTTCCAAAAGGTACTCGAGGCAGCTTAAAACATGTCTAATGTTGAAGATTAAACCAAAGAGAACATAATACAACCACATTATAAAAATGAAAGTTTCTAACTAATGTAAACATATGCCTACCCTTGGACCCAGCGATTTTATCTCTAGGTCTTTAGCAAAAGAAATCTATACTAATAAAAGGGTAATATGCTAATTAAACTGGGAGACCTTCCAGGAGCCTGGCTGGGGAGGGAAGTTGGGGGCCATGAGATTGGCAGGGGAGGGAAGTTGGGGGCAATCAGGCCAGCAGGCAGAGTGGTTAGGAGCCAGTGGTCCCGGATTGCGAGAGGGATGTCCGAGGGGTTCCAGATTGGAGAGGGTGCAGGCCGGGCTGAGGGACACCACCCCCTCCCCTGTGCACGAATTTCGTGCACCAGGCCACTAGTAAGGCTATATATGTCCATAGCACACTTGACAAGGATATTTGTAGCATCTTTATCCAGATTAGCCAAAAATGGAAATGTCCAGGTTTCTATCAAAGGAGAGTGAATAAAAGAAACTATAGCACATTCATACATTTCTATTCAGTAATAAAATGGAACAAATGTTGGACCTATTTACTAACGTGCGTGAATCTCACAGAAATTACATGGAGTGACAGAAATCAGACACAAAAGTGTGTGCATCTATGAGTCCATGTATAAGCGGGTCAAAAAGCAGCAAAACTAACCCATGGTGCCAGCAGTCAAAGCAGCGGCTGCCTCTGGTGGGGGAGCATGCAGGGGAGTGAGTGTAGGGAACTTCTGGGATGATGGAGACGTTGCATATATTTTTATTTATATTTATTTATTTACTTACTTAAATATATCTTTATTGATTTCAGAGAGGCAGGGAGAGGGAGAGAGAGATGGAAACATCAATGATGAGAGAGAATCATTGATTGGCTGCCTCCTGCACGATCAGGGATGGAGCCTGCAACCCAGGCATATGCCCCAACCAGGAATCAAACTGACCTCCTGGTTCACAGGTCGATGCTCAACCATTGAGACACTGCGGCCGGACTCTTTTTAAATATTTTTAAAATTTATTTTTCAATCATAGACGCTGCATATCTTGATATGAGTGTGAGTTATACAGGTAAATGCATTTGTCAAAACTCGCCAAACTGTACACTTTATGCTACATGAAGGAACCGACAACAAAGCGGAACGAGGGAAGCAATGAAACCTCTGTGATTGCTTTGAAACCAAACAAGTAAAGGAAGGTGCAGTCTAGAGCCAGCCGGGCTGCATGGGACCGTGGCCCAGGCCTGAGAGCTGTGGGCCTCAGGCACAGTGATGGCTGGCCAGCTCTCAGGGCTGGTAACAAGACACACTAGCCATTCAGGAGCCTCCCCCGTGGGGCGCTGGGAGTGTGCGGAGCACAATCAGACCCTGAGAGAAGAGCTCCAGGCCCCGGATGAGGTGATTCCTGCCACCCCGACAGAGGCATCTACCCCCTACGAGTGACAGGGGAGGGGGCTTCCTAGACGCGGTTCTCTGCGGCGCCCCCTGCCGGTGGCAAGAGTATCAAACATAGCTTCTTGGGATTTATGTGAAAACCAGGCCGGGACTGGGCTTTCCCTGCCTTGCCAGGGCCATGGTGCTCATCAGAGTGGACCCCTGAACCGGGCACACAGGGGCCAGGGCTCGTCATGGGATGGAGGTGAGAGAAGTCTACCAGCTTGTGGAGAAGCTGTGATTCAGGTTCAGGAAGGAGTGAAGGGGGCCTGGGAAGGGGTGGAACTGTGGAGTGGGAACCCAGGCCCAGGAAAGGGGGCGCCCCTCCTGCTCCGCCCCTGCCCTTTCCCTCCAGCATCACCTCCATCCTTGCCTCCTGGCTTCCCGCCCTGGGAGAAGGCTGCTGGCGGCTCTGCTCAGAACGGGAAGAACAGCAGTGGAGTTTGCTCTACCCGCTGTGAGGTGGAGGCAGCCCCTGGGAACGGCTCACTTTGAGGCTTTGGAGAGGGGCCGATTGGGTTAGAAGGCACCTCTACTACACAGTTGCCGGGCGACCTTCAGGAAGGCTCTTTGCTTCTGTGCACCTGAGCTCACCATCTATAGCACAAGGACAAGAGTCTGTCCTTCGTAAGGTTCCGAACTGGGTGGAACCTGACAGTAGGGCTCTGCACACAGTAGGCGCTGCATTGAAGCTCCCACAGCGAAGACAGACCCACTGGGAACTTCTGGCCTCTTATGCTCTGCCCGCTGATGAGGTCAGTGAGTGCCATTGGGTGTTTTACTTCTTCCAGCTAATGGGCCAGGTGAGCCCCTACTAAGAGCCAGGTGTTGTGCTAGGACCCTGGCACACAGTGGGGAATAGAGTGGATATGGCCTTGCCCTTGTGGGGCCCACAGGCATCTCTGGAGCCACTGGGGTCTGCTGGGGTAACAGCAACCCCCACTTCCCTCAGGGACTTCTCAGGAGAGACCCTGACACTCCCCTCTCCTCAGACCACATGGCACGCCGGGTGGGGCTGTGGCACACGGGGCCTGGGCTGGCGTGGGAGCTGCTCACAGACATCAGCGGGTTCGGGTTCGGGGAGTTCTGGCTGAGACCGCCGCTGATGCAGGTGACAGATAACTGCCTGGTTATGTGATTACTGCTGGCTCTTGTCAGCCACCCTGGCCTCCTCCCGGCTGCGCCTGGGGCTGGGAGCCTCAGTACACCCAGCAACCCAACGAGAAGCCACCCCACACTGTGAGCTGGGAAAGCAGCCCAGCCCCAGGGCTCCTGTATGGGGAATTCGCCCTCCTCACAGCCTTGAGCTCCAGCAATGGCCTGTCCGAAGATGGGGCTCATGCAGCCGCCAGCGACCAGGTGGAAACGGTGTCTGAGGACCAGCAGTTCCTGGGAGAAGGGGGTGGGGGAAGAGAAGGGTGTGTGTGTGTGGGGGGGGCTTTGGTCCTGACATACCTCCACCACCAGAATAGCAACTAGACGTCAAGCATTCTTTATATTAGGCCCCTGATCCTCTGGAGCCAGATGCATCTGGAAAGTCAGAGTTTAGGGTTTAGGGAGGTAATATGGTGTAAACACTGTGCGGTACCTGACATCCCAAGGGGTCTGAGCAGGACCCCACAGTCAAATACACAGATGGATGAGTGTGCAAACCAAGCCAGAGAAACAAAGATGATAGACTTCACATGCATTTGGGGAGGGTTGGTTGCCAGGTGGCTGGATGGCGGTCACACAGAGGGAGTGTGGAAAGTGCTAGTTGCAGGGATGGTTATAGCAGCAGTGGTGTTGTCTCTACGGCTGTTTCCTAGACCTTGTTCAAGTGAGGGAAGAACCTCTAGAAAACTGCTTTGTGTTGCTCTGCGATATGCAGTTCAGGTAAGACAGCGTTTTGCTAGGTCAAGGCTCACCCCACCCACCCCCTCCCCACAGTGCCCTGCAGATATGGTGGCTGGGGCAAGGCCTGTTGCTCCCCGAGGTGGGCAAGGACCACGCCCAGCCTTGGTGGAGCCCCGCTGGAGCTGAGCGACACCTGGCGCTTCTGCCTGAAACAGGAAGAAAATGCAGGCTCCCCTCCTCCTCCCATGCTGGGGCTATTCTCTAGCTTCAGGTGATTCCAGGTGCACAAGGGGGTTGGAGGCATGGCCTCGAGGAGGGGACATGGGGACACAGCTGGGCGAGGGGCCTTGAGGGGACTTCTTGGCTCCAGAGCAGGACCCACAGAGCAAATAGCTGGGTGCACAAAGGGCATGATTCTTTCATTTACCCCTGGCCTTGGATAAGGGCACGCAAACGGGAGGCAGAGCCCATGCTCTGGCCAGAGCCTCAAGGAGCAGCTCGGGCCCTGGCGGCCTCAGCCCTGGCCTCGGGCCACGGGAGAGACTCCAGGGCAGGAGGGGGTTCTGGGGGGTCTGAGTTTCCTGGGGACTGGTCCAGACACTAAATTTTAACTGCATTGCTAGAGAGCATCTTCGCACTAGAGTGTAGGAACTGTGACAAAAGAGAAGGGCCTCTGAGATGCAGGCAGTCAAGGATGGCAGTTCCAGCTCCTCGGCAGTGTCTCCACCACGGCCAGTCTTGGAAGACCGGGGTTTTCTTAGTGAGACTTCTGACATGCACGCTATGCTATGTTCACGTGATTATTGCATTGCGTCATTCAAAGGACCCTTTGAACAAGGTCCTGTCATTCCCTTTTCACATTTGCACTCAGAACGGCAGGAGCCAGTGCTGGGGCTGGGATTCGAGACAATCTGCTGAGTCTGAGGGCTCGCCTCCTGCTGCTGCCTGTAACCTGGACCACAGGAGCGTGTGGCGTCTCCTCAGTGTGCCTGAGAGACAAGGGAGGTGATGAGACAACCAAGAGAATTCTGGGGACCTACTCCTCCCTTAACTTTACCTTCTGTTTTTAAAAGACAATGCAGCCCTGACCGGTTTTGCTCAGTGGATAGAGCGTCGGCCTGCAGACTGAAGGGTCCCAGGTTCGATTCCAGTCAAGGGCATGTACCTTGGTTGTGGGCACATCCCCAGTAGGGAGTGTGCAGGAGGCAGCTGATTGGTGTTTCTCTCTCATCGATGTTTCTAACTCTCTATCCCTCTCCCTTCCTCTTCGTAAAAAAAAAAAAAATCAATAAAATATATTTAAAAAAAAAAAAGACAATGCAAGGCCCTGGCCAGTGTAGCTCAGTTGGTTGGGTGTTGTCCTGTACACCGAAAGGTTGCTGGTTCAATTCCTGGTCAGGCACAATGATTCCCAGCCAGGGCACAGTTCCAGGTCAGGGCACAGTTCCAGGCCAGGGTGCAGTTCCAGGTCAGGGCACATGCCTGGTTTTCGGGTGGGGGACATGCAGGAGGTGGCTTATCTCTCTCTCTCTCTCCCTCTCCCTTCTTCTCTCTATAAAAATCAATAAAAAATATATTTTTTAAAGTCATTCTAAGGACTGCTAGTCCAAGTCACACTGCCAGCACCTGCTTGTACTTGTAGATTTGTAGATAACTTAGGGTTTTCAGAGTCCTGCACATTGCCTCTCGCAGCGATCCTCTCAGTGAGAAGGCAAGATCATGGAGGAAGACTGTGTCTAGTTCCCGAGTTGGAAGGGAAGCTCCCCGAAAAACACGCCTCCCTGTGGGCAGGCCAGCAGCAAGGACTCCACACCAGGCTCCTTATCATCCACCTCTTCTCCCCACTTCACCGTCTTCCCAGGCTCCCTGAAGCAGCTCTACCCCAGCCAGGCTAGCTTACAGCTGTGGGTCCTGCGAACCTAAAGGTTTATATTGACACTAGACCTGATGCAGGGATTCGTGCACTGGTGGGGTCCTTCGGCCTGGCCTGCGGGGATCAGACCGAAACCGGCTCTCCAACATCTCCTGAGGGGTCCCGAATTGCAGGCCAGGCCGAGGGACCCCACCGGTGCACGATCAGGGCCAGGGAGGGACCGCAGGAGGGCTCCAGGGCATGTCTGGCCAGACTAGCCCAGTCCTGATCTGCTGGATCCCAGCAGCAAGCTAACCTACTGGTTGGAGTGTCTGCCCCCTGGTGGTTAGTGCACATCATAGCAACTGGTGCAACAGTTGAACGGTTGGGCACTTAGCATATTAGGCTTTTATATATAGAGATAATGGACTCTAAGAGTCAGTTTCAGGAAATTGACATCAAAGGGGACCATCAAGCATGTCAAACTCATGGCCTGCAGCCCACATGTGACCCAAACAAATACTTTTGCAGCCCAACCAATTAACGGTATGTAAGACATGTTTTAATAAAAATTTTGTAACTTAATTTTTACAATATCCTGCTACACATAATTAATAACAAACTACAATGTTTGCTAATGACTGATAACTATAATTGTGTTGTATTCATTTCCCTTATGCACCTTACGCGCAGGTGCACCATTTCTCTCCACTAATACTAGCAGCAAATATTTTAGCAGCCAATTGCCCCATCATTAGTCTTGGACTGACTTGTTTGGTGTGCCCAACAGGGAATATTTCACTTTCAGAGGACAAGAAAAATAGGTTTATTTGCATTACGCTTATTAATCTGTGCAGTTATTCAGTGTCTGGAAAGTTAATGTTCAAAAAAAATATTAATTTTTATTAAAATGTTCTATTATTTTATGTTAACGATTACTCATTTATTTCAGCCCTTTGTATTCAGCATGTTTCTATCAAAATAAACCCACATTTCTATGAAAATTGAAGCTTTTGTTTTTTTGCAGCCCACATACACTTAAACCTTGCTTATTTGGCCCCTATCAGCCTTTGAGTTTGACATGCTAGACTCTAGCATAATAGTGATGTCTTCTGACTCCAGGGACAAGGAAACCCTTGGGGGATTGTGCTTTCATCAAACCAACCATCATAAAAAAATCTTAATAGGAAAAAGTGAGCTCCTGAAAAATCCAAAAGTCAGGTAATTTCGAATATTTTTGTATCTGGTAACTAGGTGAGGAGTTCATTTGGGGAATCTTTTTCAAACAACTTTTTTATTTTTAAATTAAGTTGAAAAGCAATATTATATTAGTTTCAGGTGTATGACATAGTTATTAGACATTTATATAACTTATGAAATGATCCCCTCCATAAGTCTGGTACCCACCTGACGTACATAGTTATTACAATATTATTGACAGTATTCACTATGCGATATTTTACATTTTCTTCCCGATTGAACTTCTCTGCTGCAAACTATTAAGGGCACAAATATTGATTTAAGTACCTGCACTGGAACAGCTTCTATGCATGCTCTCACTCGTCGACACAGTAGAGCCCCAGCTGGGGACACAGTACAGACCCAACCCAGCCACTTCATTAACCTCCCAACAGTGTGACCTCACATGTTCTGTGACTGGTTTTTAAAATTTTTTGATTCACTGAGTACACTATGGCAGAGTCCTATTCATACTCGGATATAACCTCATACAAAAGTTTCATGAAATGATTCTTACCCTTATTTGTGGTTGCACTCTGTCTTCTTTCTTTGTTTTTAATGCCAGACTCTAGCATAACAGTGATGTCTTCTGACTCCAGGGACAAGTAAACCCTTGAGGGATTGTGCTTTCATCAAACCAACCATCGTAAAAAAATCTTAATAGGGAAAGGTGAGCTCCTGTAAAATCCAAAAGTCAGGTGATTTCAAGTATTTTTGTGTCTGGTAACTAGGTGAGGAGTTCATTTGGGGAATCTTTTTTTTAAAAAAATTTTTATTTTTATTTTTAAATTATGTTGAAAAACAATATTATACTAGTTTCAGGTATATGACATAGCTATTCATACTCAGATATAACCTCATACAAAAGTTTCATGAAATGATTCTTACCCTTATTTGTGGTTGCACTCTGTCTTCTTTCTTTGTTTTTAATGCCGGGCATATCCCACTATGTTGATTTCAGAATTAATTGATAGATTAGGAGCTATAGCTTGAAACACTGGCTAGGAGCTCTCACCCACACTCTCTGTCCATTCGCCACCTGTTTGCGACATGAGTCAGTCCTGAGTCTCTACTTCCAGTTTTGCTCTCTGTCCTGAGCTTCGAATTCTAGTCCCCAGCTGCCTACTAGAGGAGCACAATGTGAAGGTAACCCAAGCAGAGCTCAGCGCCTGCTCCTCCCTCCCTGCCAAGTCTCCCTCCCTGTGTTCCCCATCTCCTGAGAGGATCACGCTTGACCCAGATGGCCAAGCCAGAAACTTGGCTGGTGTCCCCTCCTTCCCCCTCCTCACCACCCAGACGCGTCAAGTCCCATCCAATATCCTTTCTCAATATGTCTTGAATCTACCTGCTTCTTCCCAACACCACACCCTCTCCTCTGTGTCTCTGAATGACTCCAGCAGTTGCTAACCGGTCTTCCTACTTCCCAGCACGGCCCCCCAAGCCAGCCCCACACTGGAGAGGAGCCCTTCTCCACT